CCAGCCACTCCTCGGAAGGAAGGTTGGGCAATCCTACTTCCATAGTGATACTGCCTCGGAAACCCAAGGAGGGGTCACTATGAGTCGGGGCCGACTCGACGGCACATAACAACAACAACAAAGGGAGGTTGCTTAGGTGTGATCCCACTAGTGACCAGCAGGGGGACCTGCTTCTTCAGGGGAATCCTGGCCCGTCCCTGCAGCCAGCGTTGGCCAGGGCTCCCAGGGCTCCCTCCCCCATCAATGGCGGATGCTGTGATGGCGGAGTAATTGCATCCAGTGGTTCTTGGCTAATTTGCTGGCCACAGACTGTCCCTCAGAACCGTCCATTCTCAGTACCTCACCTGTCCAGTCCCTGCCTCTTTCCTCAGCATCCACCCTCACTACTCCTACTGATTATAGGATCTCTAGCAGGTGACCTGATCGGAGTCTGGGGACATGGGGGTAATAACCACCCTGCTGTGAGGCTTCTATAGGACTAGGCAGGGAGGGGCTCAGTCCAGCTCCGGGTACCTGGTGAGCCTCAGTTCTCAGGAGGCACCATTACCATTACTGACCATGAGGGCTTGGGCTTTGGCTGCTGACCCAGACACGCAGAGCGGTGAGATTGGCAAGAAGCCGCTGAAAGTGGAATGAGGGCAGCAGAGGCTCCGCGTCCTCAGAGGTTTCCTGCAACCTGGCAGGGACAAGGGTCAAAAGAAGAATCTAAGTACAAGGGCAGGTGGGCACCAAGAACCCTTGGGCAGGGGCCTTAGAATCAGCATCCCCCTCCCCAGATCACAAGAGCAATGTCAATTGTGCCTGGACCTCAGAGACCAGCTAGACAGCCCCCCACACACACACCTCTCAGGACAGAGGGGGGACACTTACTGGAACTTGAGCTGCACCTCCCCAGGCTGCCCACTGTCCTCGGGGCCAGACAGGCTGAAGTGCCACAGAGACAAGGCTAAGCCTGCCCCTTCCAGCCTTAGCTGCACAGGAGGTGGGGAGCTCCCAGGAGGCACCCTGAAGGTCAATATTAGGAGCTGCCCATAGCTGAACCGCTGGTCTCCCAGGAACTTCTCTGTAGACAAGAGAAGGCGCCTTTAACATTCTTATTGAATTAGCTTGATATTAAATGTCTATATTGATTTTATTGGCAATTAAACATTCAAACAAGATAAAACTGCAGCAAGGCGGACACAAAGGCTCCCTGCCTAGCAGATGCAGATGGTGCCCCACCCACATTTCCTGAAAGCAAATGCTGGACGGGGAGCAAGGTGCTGGGTCATGCATGTTACATGTATCTCCTCTGCTCACATGCTTAGTTTAACTCTCTGCTGTTACTCTCTGGACTTTTAAAAATAATTTTATCTTTGAACTTGTGTTTTGTGAGGCAAGTCCAACAGGACAACAGAATTTGCATGGGAGTAAATGTTAGATTACATCTAACCAAACCCACTACCACTGAGTCAATTCCAACTCATAGAGATGTTCCATAGAGTTTCCAAGGCTGTTGGGGAAGCAGACTGCCTCCTCTTTCTCCCACTGAGAGGCTGGTAGGTTTGAACTGCTGATCTTTTGGTGAGCAGCCAAATGCTTTAACCACAGCACTCCCAGAGCTCCTGTTAGGGTAAGTGGCAAGGGGGAATTTAAAGATGCAGATGGAATTGAGGTTGCTAATCAGCTCACTTTAAAATTGGGAAAGCTTCCCGGATCATCAGGTGGGTGCTATGTAATTACAAAGAGACCTCTGGTGGCATAATGCTAAGGCATTTGACTGCTAACCAGAAGGTTGATGGTTCAAACCCACTAGCCACTCAGAAGGACTGGACAATCGACTCGACAGCAGTAAGTTTGGTTTGGGTATGGTTTTCAGTGTGAAAGAGGAAGGCGGAAGAGTCAGCATCAGACATACAGCCTGAGAAAGGCTGAGCCAGTCATTGCTGGCTTTGACGATGGAAGGAGACATGAGCCTAGGAACGTGGATAGCCTCTAGAAGTTGCAAAAAGGCAAGGAAAGAGATTCTCCCCCTGTGTCTCCAAAAAGGATGCAGAACTCTGCCTACACCTTGATTTTAGTCCAGGGACACCATTTTGGACTTATGACCTCCAGGACTGTAGGATGATAGATTTGTGTTGCTTTAAGTCACCAAACAAAAAGAAAAAAAAAAGAAAGAAAATGCACTGCTGTTGAGTCAACGCCAACTCATAGCGACCCCTCCTTGGGTTTTCGAGGTAGTATCACCACAGAAGTAGACTGCCCAGTCTTCCTTCTAAGGAGTAGCCAGTGGGTTTGAACTGCCAGCGTTCTGGTTAGCAGTCAAACACTTTAGGCACTACACCACCAAAACCACAATTTGTGTAATTTGCTATAGCAGCAGCAGTAGGACACTGACACTGGGTAAATGTGCCCCTATCTGTGGCTGGCGGTACCTGGTGCTATGAGTTCCTCCTCATCTTCTGGGCTCAGGAGGATCCCCTTTGAGCTCCACTGTGCAGGATGCTCTGGGCTCTCCCCACTTCTGGCTCCCCAGCCCTCGGCTCCTAGGCAGCAAACATACACACACACACACACACACACACATCAGTGTGAGGCATGGAGCAAATGGACACACGCAACAGAGCCTCCCTTCCTACTTCACAGCCTTCCCAGGTCCTCTCTCTCAGACAAATCCTGAACAGAACACAGTGGATATAGTCCAGAGACCCCAACCTGGGGGCACTGGGACACAAGAGCCATTTTAGAGAGAGCCTTCTCACCTGTGACCTCACCACACTCCTCATTCAAGGTCATTTGAGTTGCACGAGCCATTAGCCCCATTGTTCCCAGGGAGGCCAACTGGTTAGGAAATGGCAGAGGTAGGACCACAAAGCAGGTCTTCGGGTCCCCAGTCCCAGTTCAGCCACCCTCCTTCTGGCAACAGCAGGATAAGGAGCATAGGCTTCCACAGAGCAAATGACCCCAAGATGTTCTCTAGGGGCAGCTAGGGAATAGGGTGGAGGCCAAATGTGTAGGGCATCTTAGAGCTGAAAAAAGGGGCAAGATGTCCAAAAGAGAAGTGTAGGGTTTGTGCAATGCTGCACTAGGCTCTGCTATCCACTGGCTGTGTGACCTCAGACAAGTTACTTAACCTCTCTGAAGCCAGTTCCTTGTCTGCAAAATGGTAGCAGTTCTCAAAGTATGGTCTGGATGCCCTGGGAGAGCTCTGAGACCCTTTCAGGAGACTGTTGTTGTTGTTATGTGTCTTGGAGTTGGACCCAACTCATAGCGACCCCTACTTGGGTTTCCAAGGCAGTATCACTACAGAAGTAGATTGCCCAACCTTCCTTCTGAGGAATGGCTGGTGGGTTTGAACTGCCAGCTTCTGGTTAGCAGTCAAGTGCCTTAGGCACTATGCTACCTGTTGTTGTTGTTGTTGTTATGTGCTGTCGAGCTACCAGAGCTCCCTGCTATTGTTTTAGTATTTGCTAAATATTTGTGCTGGTCCTCTTTTTCATTCTGATGTGAAGGTTCATCATTTTTAATTTGAGGTTACCCTGTTTTTATAGGTTTCAGGAGACTAGAGAAGTCAAAACCATTTTCTTAATAACACTAAGCTGTCACGTGCACTTTTCATTATCTCTCCCATGAGTGTACCATGCAGTTTTCCAGAAGCTGCAGGGTGTGTGATTTCACAACAGACCTAATGGCAGAAGTCAGTGTGAGGGTCAGGTGACTTCTATTAAAGAGAATTGCAAAAGCATAAAGCAAATGCTGCTCTTACCATGCAATTTTTTGTTTTATGTTATTTTTCATAGAAGTACGTTGTTTCTTACAATGTTATAGGTTTACAATTATTTTGAAATGAATTGATAAATAAGTATTTTTAAATGACTCAGGTTTAATTTTGACTGCAAAAGATTTCCATATAAGAAATCACAAGAATAAAAGCTCTTTGGTGCTCAATAATTTTCAAGAGTTTATAAAAAAGGGATCCTGAGACTAAAAAGTTTGATCATGAAGATAAAGTAAGATTGGAATGAAGCGTCAAATCCAGGGCCTAGCTCAAAGTGAGAGCAGATAATAATAATGTTCTTATGATCTATAAAATGTTTCATGTGACAGTAACATCCTTCACTCCAGGGCTATGCTCTGACCCAGGCCCCTCTCAGGCCTGATTTCTGTGTGGCATCCAGCAGAGGGCGTGCTGTCCCCATGGCTGGGGCACCCTAGAGCCTGCAACTGAGTTTCTATTCACGGCTAAGGAGCCAGTCCCCTCTCAGGAAGAGAGGAGCTCTGTGGGCCCCCTGGTACCTCTCCAGGACAGAGCCGCTCTCCCACAAGTTCCTAGTAAACCAAGGTGAGTGGCTGCTCCAGGGCAGAGGGTTGGAAGGAGATGAGGAAGGGAGGGGACAATCACCACATGCCACCCTCCCAAGAGCCCTGGTTCACAGCAGGCTGTGACTAAATCCCAGAACTCAGCCACTTTCCCTGTGCTGTGATCTCATTGCCAATGCTCCCAAGTGTGGCTATCCCACCCTGCAGTCTAGGACCCAGGGCACCATTGTACCCCTGGACCAGAGAAAGCCTGTACATTGATGAAGAGCAAAACCGAGGAGTTGATGAACCCAGAGACCAACAACTGACTTATGTGACCTTGGATGAGAACCTCCCTTTCCTGGACTTCAGTTGTCTCCTCTATAGTAAGCACCTACCTGCCAAGGTCTCTGTGAGTTTCCATGCAAGAAAAGAGCTCAGTATAGCACTCAGCATACAGCAGGTACTCAATAAATGGAGGCCAGGGCATTAAGCTGGAACCTCCAGCATATAGACTCTCGAAGGGAGGCCAATCTTGATAGGGTAATTAGTAATTTCCCTATAGGATCCAAAGGATGTCAGATGCCCAACCCCAATCCTGCCAAGTATAAATGCAGCTTGAGGCTGAGAACAAGGGCAGGGGCCAAGGAGGGTATGAAGGGGGGACCTCACACCTGACCCACAGTAAGTGGGCTCTGTGTACGCATGTGGGAGGCACCACCTAGGCCTTGGCTGTCGCCTCCTTTTCAAACCAACCCATACCAGCAGTGTGTGGTTCCCCCCGGGGAAGATCATTTGCCCACCCGGGTTGGAAGCAGACCAAGGAGGCAAGAGGAGGCACGTCTTACCCTGGTGGAAGTCAGAGAGGATATGATGCTCCCGGAACCGGGTGGCAGCTGCGCACACCTTGGAATGGCCATAGCAGAAGCAACTGCTGCAGCCGGCTGGGTTGTGGGGCTGCAGGTTAAATGTCCCTGGGCGGCATCTGAAAAGAAGGCAAGATAAGGCCAGTGGGGCCAAATGAATCAGCCTGGGATGGGGAAGGGGGATGGCCAGATTAGCAGGTTCTGCAATCCCAACTAGACCGATGTCCCGAATCCCCAGGAAAACTTGTTTGAAAAATAAGTTTAGATTTACAGCAGAGTGGAAAGGACAGCTCCCATGCACAGTCGGTCCTTGTCACTCATGGAGTCTGCATTTGTGAACCTCCCCACTTGTTATCATTTATTTCTAAGCCCCAATCAATGTGCATGGCACTTTTGTGGTCACTGTGGACGTACACAGCCACTCCGCAGGAGAAAGATGTGGTAGTCCACTTCCATGACGATTTACAGCCTTGGAAACAGTATGAGGCAGTTCCATGGGCTGTCCCATAGGGTCGCTATGAGCTGTAACTGACTTAACGGCAATGTTTTTCTTTTTCTCTTCCCTATTTTAAAACTCTACATGATATTACCAGTGATGGTAACCTTCATCACTAGGGTAAGGTGATGTCTGCTAGTTTTCTCCATTGTAAAATATGCATATTCTAATCATTAGAAGCAAGTCACTAAATCTAGTCCCGAGCTAAAAAACCAAAGCAGTTGCCTTTGAGACGATCTGGACTCAGGGTGACCCCACATGTTTCAGAGTGAAACAGTGCTCCACAGGGTCTCCAATGGCTGTGATCTTTTGGTCACAGTCTCTAGGCCTTTTTTCTGATACACCTTTGGGTGGATCCAAACTGCCAACCTTTCAGTTACCAGCCAAGCACTTAACCATTTTTACCCCCCAGAGACATCCATACCACACCAAAACAAAATGAATAAATGAATAAACCCATTGCCATCGAGTTCATACTGACTTATAGCAACCTTATAGGACAGAGGGGGAGCTCTGGTGGTGTAGTGCCTAAGGCACTTGACTGCTAACCAGAAGGCTGGTCGTTCAAACCCACCAACCACTCTTCGGAAGAAAGGTTGGGCAATCTACTTCCATAATGATACCACCTCGGAAACCCAAGGAGGGGTTGCTATGAGTTGGGTCCGACTCGACGGCACATAACAACAACAACAACAACATAGGACAGAAGAGAACTGCCCCATAGAGTTTCTAAGACTATAACTCTTTATGGAAGCAGACTGACACATCTTTCTCTGGTGAAGTAGCTGGTGGGTTCGAACTGTTGACCTTTCAGCTAACAGCCTAGTGTTTAGTCATTGTGCTACCAGGGTTCCTAATCCAGCCCAAAGGGAGGAGAATTAGGTTCCACTTCCTTAAGTGGGGGGGAGGTACAAGAAAATTATAAACATATGTTAAAATCACCACGGTAATTAATAATACTTCGAGGCAGAGATTTGGAGGCTGTACAAGTATCCTGTTTCCCCTTAGTCTGGCCCACTCATCTTATTTTAGCATCCATCAGTGCAGTCTGGCCCACAGTGATTCCAACTGTGATGTTCTTACAGGGATTTTCTATTTCACTCATTCCTTCCACATCCACTATTTGGAATTCTTCTGGAAGGAAGATGTGTCCTTTTGTCCCCATTTATTTATTTATTCAGTTATCTGTTTATGTCAGTATGGACTCATGGATATTTATCCTATCCTTTGGGTTATAATCCAATTCCATTGTTATTTATTTTGTGGCTCAAATCATTTCAGCTGATTTCAACCCTTTCAGGTGGCTCCTGTGCCCTTTGATGTGCCCCCATCCTGGTGGGGTTTTATTGTTTGTTTCTTTTTTGTGTTTAGGAGCTCTGGTGGCATGGTGGTTAAGGCATTTGGCTGCCAACCAAAAAGGTCAGCAGTTTGAACCCACCAGCTGCTCCGCAGAAGAAAAAATGATGCTGTCTGCTTCCATAAAGATTTACAGCCTTGGAGACCCAATGGGGCAGCTCTACTCTGTCCTATAGGGTTGTTATAAGTAGGAGTCGATTCAATGGCAAAGGGTTTTGTTTTGTTTTTAAGCACTTCCTTACTTTCTGGCACTACAAGATGCTCCAGGTTCATCTTGTATTTTCCCTGGCCCAGTTCCAGAATCAAGGAACTCTGCTGGTGTAGCCGTTAAGGCATTCAGCTACTAAGCAAAAGGTCAGTGGTTTGAACCCACCAGCCACTCCATAGAAGAAAGATAAGTAGCGTACTTCCATAAAGATTTATAGCCTTGGAAACCCAATGGGGGTCACTATGAGTTGGAATCAACTCAGTGGCAGTGAGTTTGGTTTTGATTTGAGTTTTAGAATCAGCCATTTCTCCAAGGAGCCCTGGGAAAACATTTTTCAAGTACAGATTTCCTGGTTTCTACTCCAGGAGACTTGTTATGGGCAGGCTTGGGTGGAGGGATCTGATTCATAAAAAGCTGTTGACGAGCTCAATGTCCAGCCAGTTCAGATGAACACATCTCAGCAAGCCCTCCCATTTCACAAATGCGTAAACTGAGCCTCAGAGGGGAAGATCTACTCAAGGTCACAAGGCAGGGCAGAGGTGTGACAAGCTTCCTGACTCTCAGGTTAGATCTGGTTCCCTAACCCCACCCTGGAGAGAGTCAGCCTTCCTCCCCCCCCCCGGGGGGGGCCCCCCACAGGCCGCAGCACATAGACAAGACCAGGAAGTAGCCTAGGGCTGGCCAGGGACCAGCAACACAGCTTTGGCACTGGCTTCTTCCTGAACAGGTACAGGACCAACATATACCAACAACATAGAGTCCATGACAGTGCTGTGTCAGGCACTTCACACACAAGGTCTCTGGCCAGCTCTACCTTGGGCTCAGTCACAGGACATCAAAAAGCCCCAGGAACACCTGAGCTGGGTACATAAAGTTTCAAAGATGCAAGACAAAGCTAGGGAGAGGAGACAGTACATGCCCAAGGAGGTAAACCCATGTTTGTTTGCCAGCCCCACTGCTGGAGCAAGGAGACCAATGCCTGCATGCTTGTAAGAGGAAGTTTAAGGAGTAAATGACCTTGGAAAAGTCCCTTCATCTCATTGAACTTCAGACATCATACTTAAACCATGATTGGGTTATAAGTGTGGCAAATAGACCACTCTCAACTCAATTTGGTAAGGCTTCATGAAGCAAGGCACTAAGAAGGATACTGATGCTACAGTAGGGCTCATTGCAAAGAGAGCTGTGCTCCATTGGACATGTCTGCCATGAATAGGAAAGTAGATGGTTGTGATGTGAATGCCATGTATTTGCTATCCCTGGATAAGATGATCTCTCCTGTCCTTTTCAGGATTCTGAGTTAGAAAAAAAAACCTATTTTCTTAAGTTATGTACCCATCAATGATGCAGGATCAAAATATAAACAGTGTCATTAAGCCTTTGGATAATTTTTTTTTTTTTAATTTTCTTTTGATTTGGGTGAAGATTTACAGAGTACATTCACTTTTCATACAGCAGTTCACATATACTTTGTCTCATGTCATTGACCAAAATTTACAATGCAACAGATCCCCTCCCACTTCCTCCCCATAGTTACCTCTCCCCAGTGACCATCCCTCCATACTCTGAAGGGAGCTGTCTCCCTGTGCATAAGTCGCCCTTCCTTCTCCCATGATTGTTCTCTCCAGGGCATGTGTCTACTTGAGGTAAATGTTTAACTCATATGCCTGTACTTTGTTTGGCTGGAAACCACAGGTGTGGGTTCAATTCCAGACCTGAAGGGCAGCTAGGAGCCATAGTCCCAGTGGTTCCACCAGGCTCCATTGGACCAGCAAACCTGGTCTCCACCTTCTTTTTTTTTTTTTTCCTCCAAATGATTTTGAGTTTTGTTCCACATTGTTCTCCCTCTCTATGCAGGATCTCCTACATCCCTTCCAAGTGGATGATAGTGGTAGCCGGGCTCCAACTAGTTCTTCTGGTCTCATAGTTGTATAGGTTGCAGATCGGATGGTGTACCAGTTGCTAGGACTGATTGTTTCCATTAATTTTGGTTTTCTTCTTTCTTCTTGATGAGGAGAGACCCATTGTTGCATCTAGATGGCAGCTTGCTAGCTTTTAAGATCCCAGTCGCTACTCGCCAAAGTAGTAGGTGGAACAATGTTTTGTATAGTATGTTATGCCAATTGAGCTTGATGTCCCCTGTGACTATGGTCCCAAGCCCGCAGGATCAACTACTCGGTCGCTCTGGGAAGCTGGCTGTGACCAAGCAATGACCATACCTTGCCCCTTGTCAGCTCTACTATACACCTGGGAATTCTGATCATTCACATAAACTTATAGGACCATTGTCTGCCAACCCTATATATGATCTTGGATACACTCCCCATTTAGACATACCTAGTTGTTTAGCCTGTCCACCTATCTATCCGTCCATATACCCACGTTTGCTTTCACTGACAACTCAGTACTGTATATGCAAAAGGGTTCATATTTGTTGTCTATACCTCCCATGTACCTCTCTATGTCTTTCTCATCCTCAATGCTGCCATATTGGTCACTCACATTTGGTACATTGCCCTTCTCTTCACCCAAATCAATATTTATCTCTATCTATCTAACAGCATTCCCTCCCCTCCCCTCCCACCCCCGGTAAACAAAAAAGAAAATTTCCTCCAATAGATAAACCTTTCCTTAACTTTTATAATAATGGACTAATACAATATTTGTCCTTTTGTGACTGACTTATTTCCCTCAGCATAATGTCCTCCAAGTTCATCCACGTTATGTGGTGTTTTGCAGATTCTACATTATTCTTTAGCATTGCATAGTATTCCATTGTGTGTATGTACCATAGTTTGGTTATCCATTCCTCAGTTGATGGACATCTAGGTTGTTTACATGTTTTCGCTATTGTAAATGGCGCTGCGATGAACATCGGCGTGAATGGTAGATCCATGGGGCTCCAGGAAGAGTGCAGGGTGATGGTAAAGTCAAAGTTGGTGACCTCCCCAGCCCACAGCCTTGATGTCTCCTCAGTGACCCCTGAAGTCGCTTCCAGAAGGCTTATTATTGAACCAGCTCACTCACCTGTCACACAGACTGCCTTCCACATTCTCTTTGCAGGGGCAGCGCCCACTGCGGGGGTCACAGGTACCCAGGCTGCCAGCAGGATTGCAGGTGCAGGGTCTGCCAAAGAGATTAGACAACTGGAAAAGTGTCCAATGAGCAACTCCAAAGTGAGAATAGCCCATTCTCCTTGGAAGAAATCTCCCTACCCTCCCCTGATCCTGAAGAGACCAGGAGGCAGCCTGACCCAAGAGCCTACCCCTGGCTTTACTGTTCCCACCTTGCCAAGGAATCAATCCATCTACTCACCCACATTAAGATCCCTCTGCCCACTAACCCACTCATCTATTTATACATCCATCCATCCACCCACCCACCCACACATCCTTCCATCTATCATCCACCCAGCTACTCATTCATTCATTCACCTACCCCTCCAGCCATCTAAACCAAACACCAAACCCACTGCCTTCGAGTCAATTCTGACTCATAGCGACCCCCACTGGGTTTCCAAGGCTGTAAACATTTACAGAAGTAGGTTGCCTCATCTTTCTCCTGCAGAGCAGCTGGTGGGTTTGAACCACTGACCTTCTGGTTAGCAGCCTAATGCCTTACCCACCATGCCACAAGAGCTACTTTCCAGCCATCTACTCATCCATTTATCCATCCTTCCATCCACCTACTCACCCAATAAGACATGGTTCCTACATTCACAGAGCACGCTGTCCAGTGAGGACAGATAGGTAAACAGGCAGACACTATACTGTGATATATGTTATGGGAGGGAGTGTATAGGTGACTGTGGCAGCAGCAAGGAGGGCATGTGATCCAGCCTAGGGGTGAAGGCAAAGGGCAGGTGAAAGGGAAGACTTCCTAGGGGAGTGGTACTGTGGCTGAGAACTGAACAATAGGAGTTTGCCACACACAGGTTGGGAAAGGCTTGGAGGGGGAGGGGAAACCACTCCAATCTAGGAACAACAGCATGTGCAAAGGCCCAGAGACAGAGAGATCATGGGGAATCAGCCAGGTCCCCATCCAGTGGCCAGTTTTGTGCCCAGAACCACTAAGTATTTTACAATGGATTGAGACAACACCCTCCCACACACACCCCAATACCTTTGCTCTGACTTTCAAATATACAAGGAATTTGATGTAATTAATCAAAGCCAAATACATTTAGAAGTGCTTCCAAATTTTAACAGCTGTACTTTTCTGGCCATTATGTATTTTCTCAAATCAAGTGAGGACATGGTTTCCAGTTAGACCCATCCTCTGAGAGTCAGATTCCGATAGTCTGTGCCCATCTCTCCTCCAATGTCCCACGGCACTGCCAACTCAGCATAGTCCAGACTGCACTCAATATCTCCCATCCCAGCTCCTCCCCGTGAGCTCCTCTTCACTCCCCTTAGCCAGGATACCCAAAGCAAAGCCCTGGCAGTCAGCCTTGTCCCTTCTCCCTCCTTGGTCCTCCGTGAGCACATCCTGCTAACCCAGCCTTTTGATGGGCTCTGGAACCTGTCTAGCAATCTCCCTTTCCATGGCCAAGCCATAGTCTAGGCTGGCACCATGCCTAGGTGTTACTGCTGCAGCTCTGGGCTTTCACCTCATCCCCCTCCTGCTTCAGCTCAATCCACAGCTCCTCCTGAGGTCCCACGAGACCAGCCTTCTTGGCACACCCGCTTGCCTTGTACTCCACGTTCAGCCATCATGACCTTCCCCTGAAGGGCCCCGAGTGCACCGGGCTTGTGTTTACCTCGGGGCCTTTGCACATGCTCTGCCCCTGCCTGGAATACTTGTCCCTGCCTGGTCCTCACTCACCATGTCTTAAATAGAACTGAGTGCCTCTTATGGCAAGCCTGCCCTCAACCCTTAAACCCAACGGTGCTTCCACGGGACTCAGCACCCTGGTTCCTAATTGTCTGCATACATCTCTGCCTCCCAGGCCTAGAACCTCCATGAAGGCATAGACTGGGTACCTCCAGTCCTCACCCAGGACTGGGCACAGTGGCTGCTAAGTAAGAAAATGTGGACTAGAGGAAAGAAAAAAGGAGGCAAGGCAGTGCTGAGTATCACACCCCTCCACTTCCTGTCATTCAGTCTAATTCCACTGCCACATGTGGACCTGCTTCCCATGGGCCCATGCTGGGCTGCCCACGCCCTGCTGCATGCTGGCCACCCTTACCTGCAGCCTCCCTCGCTGAGTGAGTGGAACCCAGACAGGCAGTGGTCACACTTCCAGCCTGTCACTGTGGGTTTGCAGGTGCAGGTGCCTGAGCCATCACACTGGAGGTGCAGGGAGCCTGGTGGAGGAAGGGTGCAGGGCAGCGTGAACCAAGACAGAGGGGAGCGAGGGGGAGGAGGTGGTGGGAGCCCACCTCACCTGCTGGGTGGCAGTCACAGGGCAGGCATGGCGCTTTCATGTCCCAGTGATAGAAGTTCTCCTGGCAGCGCTCACAGTGTGGCCCGGCAGTGTGGTCTCGGCAGTGGTGGCAGCGCCCGCCATGCCCTGTGCTGCGGAAGAGCTCCCGGTCAAATGTACATTCCTCTGAGTGGCCGTTGCAGTTGCAGGCTGGGGGTGGGGCACAAAGCAGGGGCCTTGTGAGCAGCTCCAGGCACGTGGTAGGAGGGCAGTCAGGGCCAGCCAACCTCCCTATGTCAGACAAGCAGGCAGCACCACAGAGGACAAGAGGACAGGGTGCAGGCCTAGCTTGATCAATGATCTGAAGACCAACTAACTGACCACCCAAAACAGGACACTCTTACATACACCAAAGTATCAGGCATAGACAGATCACACTGGACAAACCAGGATGCCTGGTTCCTGGGTCATGGATTGCAGACTGGCTACCTTCTAGAGCTGCCATGTGGCTCATTCCAAAACCTCCTGCAGACTCTCCAAGCCTAATCATTGTGTGCATCTGGTCTCCAACACTTCAAAAGCCCCAAGTTAGTCAGGCTCATGAAAAACACAAGTCACCCTTCATTCACTCATTAATTCATTCAGGAAAAATATGTACCAAGGATCAGCTATGTATGGTGAGCCCAGGGGAAGGTATAGTGTAGAGACACACCTTGTTCCTGTGCTTAGGTTGCCCAGTCCTCACCCCTGTGGTCACACCTCTGTCTAAGAGCCAGACACAGTAAGTGAGTGAAAAGCCCATGAGTGAAGCACTATGACAGGAGAAGCATGGGGTGGGGAGTGCACTAGGAGCTGAAAGGAGGGGAGGGGCCCCTAGAACTGTCTTGGGGATGATGCTTCTAGCCTTCCTAGAGTAAGTCATGGCTAAGGTGACCTGAAGGATGATCAGGAAGAAGGTACCAGGTGAAAGGGGAGAGGATGTCCCACACTGGAGACGAAAGCTCAGAGGATAAAGAAATAAGATGTACCCAGTGTGGGGGTGGCAAGCAGAGCAGTGTGGGGATAGTGTGTGCATGGCATGCCGTTGACTTTGAGCCAGGCTGGGCAGGGGTGGCGTGCGGTGTGATGGGGCACGGAGGAGGGTAGAGGCAGCTGTGAGGTCAGAGAGATGAGAGAGGCCAGCAGAGCTTGCTATGGGGAGACCAGGCAGCATACTGAGTAGACTTCACCTCTGACCAAGGAAGGATGTTGAGGAGAGGAGGGGCGCAATCAAACCTCCACTGGAGGAGCCCTGGCTGTGGGTGGAGTTGGAGTCAGGGAGAGGAGGGATGAGGGAGCTTCAGACACCTAGTGGGGAGGTGATGGGGCCTGGACCAAGGACACAAATTAGATGGACCAGAGGGACACAACAGAATGTGGAGCTCAGGAGCTGGCTGGACTGAGGGGGGTGTGCTCAAGTACAAAACCCCAGCTTCCAGGCTGTGTGAGGACAAAGGTGTGACCACAGGAATGAGGACTTGGCAGAAGCCACATGGCCTTTTGTGTCACTGCTGTGTGCTGCTAGCTAGCACAGCCTCCTGGGCCCAGAGGGCACCCTGGTGGAGATGGGCCAGCAAGGGCAGCAGGAACCCATTAGGATCAAGGCAGCCCAAGGCAGCTCCTGTCCCAAGGAACAGGCTGTCCCTCTCCATCTTAGCCCTGGCTGCTGGTGGCCTAAGCCCAAGAGAACAACAGGGCCCAGAGGCCAGGCCAGTTGTGGTGCCTCCACACAAAGATCCTCCTCCTCCAGGCAACAATGCCAGTGCCTGATGACTCCAGAACTCACGGGAGAGCCTAAAGGAAACCAGATGGCTGTCTGAGGAGGGAAATGGGGTGGGGATTGAGTGTCTGGGTGGGCTGGCACACCAGGCTGAGATGGGGGGTGGGGAGGTGGTGGTCCCCTGCATGGCCTCATCTCATTAGAGAAGGTATGATGGCACCCTCTTCTCCTCGAGCGTCTCTGAGGTTTGGTGGGCAAAGCCACATCATTCAGGGGGCTGGGACATCAAAGGGCTGTGTAGGGTCCTGGGAATGTGGGTGGGCAGGTCAGCAACCCCCTTGGACTCAGGGTGGCCTGGTTTTCATTAGCAACTGGAGTTGGAACAGTGAAGACAAAGGAACAAGTCGTTGGAGCCCTCTTGGCCCTCACACAATAGGCACCTCTACTTGGGTCGATGTTGTTGGGGGGAGATAGAGTCTTAAAGTCCCCCCACCCCGGCTCCCTCAGCTTCCCCTCATCCCTACAGCAGTGCGGGGGAGGGGCACTCAGAGCCAGCAGCCAGCCAGGCCCACCCAGGCACAGCCCCCATGGTGACACTCACGCAGACACTCATTAGCAGCCTCGGCTGTGCTGCGAGCCCATGGGCGGTCCTGGAAGAAGGGCAGGCAGCGCTCGCAGTCCGGGCCTGTGGTGTTGTGCTGGCACTGGCAGGCCAGCTGACCCGTCTCACTGGGGCCACACTCACTGGCGTGCCCGTTACACTTACACCTGGGAAGAGAGCATGAGGAGGGGGAGCTGGGGACTGTGGGGAGGGGCCAGCAGACAAGGGGTTAATATCTAGGCAGCACTGTGTGTGTGAGTTTTATTGAATGGCTGCTAGGTGCCCTAGTAACAGTACTAGGGAAGCCTGTTCCAGGCACTCCCTGTTCTCCCTCTGCACATGCATAAATCCATTTCATCTTCACAGTCCTATTATCTCCATTTAACATATAAAGAAACTAGAACACGTGTAAGAACATTCATTAGAGGCAAAGTTATGATAACTTCTTAGCCACAGCCAACCACCCTGAAGGAGTGAGTTGTTGAACCTCTGGGCTCGGGACCATGATCATAGCAGACATCAAGCTCAAGTGGCATAACATACTACACAAAAACACTGTACTACATCTTATTTTGGTGAGTAGCGACTGAGGTCTTAAAAGCTTACAAGTGGCCATCTAGATGCAACAATGGGTGTTTCCTCATCCAGAGCAAAGAAGAATGAAGAAAACCAAAGATGAATGGAAACAATTAGTCCAACTGACTAGTGGACCATGAGAACCTCAGCCTATAAGACCATGAGACCAGAAGAACGAGATGGTGCCTGGCTACCACTGTCAACCACTCAGAAAAGGATCAAAATAGGAGATCCTGAATAGAGTGGGAAAACAATGTGGAACAAAACTCAAAATCATTAAAACAAACAAACAAACAAAAACAGGCTTACTGGTCTGATAGAGCCTGGTGAAACCCCTGAGACTATGGCCCCTAGTTACCCTTCAGGTCTGGAACTGAACTCACTCCTATAGCTTCAAGCCAAACAACAGACAGGCATATAAAGTGAACATTCACATCAGGTAGGTACACTTTTTTAGAACAATCAATCATGGGAGATCAGAAGGGCAGTAGTTGCACAGGGAAATAGCTCAGAGGGCAGGAATGCATAGGAAAAAAAAAAAAAAACCATGGAGAGAAAGTAACCACAGGGAGGAAATGGGTAGAGAGCTATTACATTATGGTGAGTGCTGTCAATGTCATGAAACAAAATGTGTATGAACGACTGTATGGAAAATGTATTTGCTCTGTAAACTTTCACCCAAATTACAATGAAAACATAAGCAAGAAACTGAAGCACAGAGGAGTTGACCAAGGCCCCAGCCAATAAGAGGCAGAGTCAGCAAGCCTGCCACAGCAGGTTTCTGCCTCCGCGGAGCCCCCTAGGGGACAAGAGGGATCCAGGAAGAGACCATCTCAGTCTCTCATGGGGAGGGGAGGGCTGGGTGGTCTCAAGGGGCAGTGGGCATGGGAGGGGCAGTGAGGGAGGCTGCCTCATGCACTTCTCAACTGTGTCTAAAAGGAGGAGAAAGAGGTTATCCCTTAGAGGGGACAGCCCCCAACTTGTCCCAAATCCCAACAGACCCTGTCTTTGAGGGCAGCCCTGGGCCTGGGTCCCCACCCCTTCGTGCCCTCTCACAGGATCAGGAGATGGGTGGACTCCGACAAGAACAAAGAGCGTTTCCCAGGGCTGTACAACATGCCTGGCTGGCCTGACCCTGTCGGGCCATTACCTCATCCTGAGTAGCCAGACTGTGAAGCTTAGAGAATGACCATGGCTCCAAGTTTATGGCCTTACTGTGTGCTCAGCTCACATCTCCTGCTGGACCCTCACCACCAAGGTGAGAAGGGCTGTTATTATCCCCATTTCATAGATGAGGAAACTCAATCAGGTCTACAGAGTGACAGATAGCAGATGACAGAGCTAGAATCTAAACTCTGTTGTCTGACTCCACACAGATCCTGAGCTCCTGGACCTGTCTCTATAGCCATGTGGTAGCTCCTGTATTGGGTTGAATAGTATCCCCCAAAATTCATGACCACCTGGAACCTCAGAATGTGACCTTATTGGGAAATAGGGTCTTTGAAGATACAATTAGTTAAGATGATACTACACTAGATTAGAGTGGGCCCTAAACCCAATGACTTGTGTCTATATAAGAAGAGGAGAGGACACACAGAGCTACACCAAGGGAAGATGGTAGCAGAGACTAGAGTGATGCACCTACCAGCCAAGGAACACTAAGGATTTCTGGGGGCCACCAGAAGCTAAGAAGCAAGAAAGGATTCTACCCTAGAGCCTCTGGGAGTACGGGCCTGCGGACACTTTGATTTCAGACTTCTAACCCCTGGAACCGTGAGAGAATGAATTTGTTGTTTTGAGCCACCTAATTTGTGGTACCTTGTTAAAGCAGCCCCAGGAAACGAATACCCTCTCCATAAGCCATGTTCCATACCGTATACATAGGCAGAACCCTGATGTTTTCTCTAATGTGGGGGCACAGGGCTGGAGAAGGAGCATCATTTCCTCACAGGCCTCCATCAGGAACCCAAAGTAGGGAGGCAGCACCCAGCACTTCTGGTGTGGGTGAGGTGGGAGCCAAGAGGTCATGCAACACAGCAGTCCAGGGCAGTGACAAGGGACCACCCACATCCCTGAGGAGGTACTGCAAATGCCTCCTTCCACCATTAAGCCCTCTGACTCCAAGGGAAGGAGAGTGTAATTTTTGGAGGCCACTTGAGGCTGCTCAGGCCACCTACCCCCACCTGTGAGCCACCTTCCCAGCCAGCTGCTGGTCTGAGGGTGATCCAGCTCCCAGCAGCTGGGGCCCAGATATTCTTTGGCTCAAGAATATCTTGAGCCAAAGATGCCCTCTCCATGCCTCCCTCTCCATGCCTCCCCTTACTCCCAAGTGCTAGCCTTCCCTGGCAGGTGCAGGCACCCAAAGTACAGGCAGTTGGGCCCATGTTCCTCTTCCTCACCTTCCCCATCTTGCTGAGCATCACCACTAGAATTATGGGAACCAGAAGTATGGGCATCATTCTGGTACTTCCTACCTCCATGACCCACTGTTTACAAGAAGAGCTGATTTTCTGTCCTAAATAGCAAGATGAGGCAATCTACTTCCGCAGAGATACTGCCTTGGAAACCCAAGGTCACTATGAGTTGGGTCCGACTCGATGGCATATAACAACAACAAATAGCTTTTGGACCAGGGTAGACATCCCCTACACACATCCCTGCCACTCCCTCCCACCTCTCCCACACACCCTGCCTCCCTGGCCCAAGCTGTCCTCATCTCTCAATTGACTCTTACAATGGCTGCCAACTATCATCTAGGCTTCCTCCCATCTCATATCCTTCCCCACACATGTCAGAGGGTTGGTTTTTGTTTTTTTTTTAAATCTGATTCTGTTGCTTGCTTGTTGTTATTAGCTACCATTGAGTCAGCTTTGACTCACAGTGATCACCCTCGTAACAACACTAAACATTGCCTGGTCCTGTGCCATCTTCATGACTGTTGGCATGTTTGAGTCCTTTGCTGCAGCCCTTGCCAATCCATCTCACTGAGGGTTTCCCTCAGTTTTCTTGGCCCTCTTTGCTACCAAACAGGATGTCCTTTCCTAGCAAATGGTGTTGTCTGATGACAGGTCCAAAGTAAATGAGTCTCCCCAGAAATTCTAAGAAACACTCTAGTTGTACTTCTTCTAAGACTGATTTATTTGTTCTTTGGTGATGGTGGTGGTGTGCCATTGAATCCATTCCAACTTGGCAGTCCACAGCATATTCAATATTCTTCACCAACATCACAGTTCAAATGCATCAACTCTTCTTTTTCATTGGTCCAACTTTACATGCATATGGGACAATTGAAAAGACCATGGCTTGAGTCATATACATCTTAGTCATCAAAGTGAGATCTGTGCTTTCTAGAACTTTAAAGAGAAACCTTGTTGCAACCTTGGCCAAATCCTTCAACAGCCTCCCATTGACTATGGGATAAGAATAAACTTGGTCCATGGCCCACAAGGCACAAGGCTCTGACAGTCTTCCAACCTCATCTCCCACTTTGTCCTGCCACACACCCTCACTCCAGCCACACCAACTCTTTCCCAGTTCCTCAAGACCCAGACTTTGCACATGCTGATCCTTCTGCCTGGAATGCCTACCTTTCACCTCTGGTTCAGGCCTCAGCTCCATCCCATCAGCCTCAGAGCCATCTCCTGAGCTTTGCACACAACCCTAAATCCTGTGCCTCTCTGTTCTCATCATTCTGCATGTACTTACACTTCTATTCAGGAGATACTCTGATTAATGTCTGCCACCCCACAAGACTGGGGCAGGAACACTTCTATCTTCCTCTCTCAGAACTCACTGGCACACAGGAGGCCCTGGACATATGTCCCCTGAATAAGGGCACTGCCCCTGCTGGCTGCAGGGCTTTGGGTAAGTCATTCAAGCTCTCAGAGCCTCTAATCTCTTAGCTATAAAGTGGGATGACAACAAGTGACAATTGCAGATGATCAGGCCTGCCTTCCCAGGTACCTCTGGATGGGTTTGAAATGCCAATTTTTAGGCTACCAGCTGAGCGCTTAACCATTTGCTTCACCCAGCTGCCTAAAATTGAATGATTGGGTGTTAGGAGCTCTGGTGGCATAGTGCCTAAGGCACTTGACTGCTAACCAGAGGGCTGGCAGTTCAAACCCACCAGCCACTCCTCGGAAGGAAGGGTGGGCAATCTACTTCCGTAGTGATACCACCTCGGAAACCCAAGGAAGGGTTGCTATGAATTGGGTCCAACACGATGGCACATAGCAACAACAATAACAGGATGTCAGAAGGAAGGTTGGGCAATCTACTTCTGTAGTGATTCTGCCTTGGAAATCTAAGGGAGAGTCACTATGAGTCAGATCCGACTCAATGGCAGTGGGTTTTTTTGTTTAGGATGTTTTTGCTAATTATTAATAAACTTTGAGTTTGGAAAATGTGAGGAAAAAAAAAGTGATGGTGGAAATTGTGGCTGCAAAGTGTTCAACACAGGGCCTCGTGAACAGGACATACCCTACAGATACTGGTGATTCAGATGAGGAACGTGGCAGGAGCAGTCATCAGGGGTAGGGTTTCTTCTCTGTCCATCCCATATTTTCCCTCTCCCAACTCCAAGAGGCAGCCAGGCCTTGATGTCCTTGGCTTTGGGGAAGCAGAAGTTACCTGGGGGAGCCACCGTACCTAGCTTTCAAATGCAGAAGCCTGAGAGCAGACTGAAAGAAGACAGGAAAGTGGGGTTCTGGAAGGTATAAGGAGCATGGGGCCCTGGGAGACTGGACTCCTGGCCTGGGATGCTAAGCCTTAGTGTCCAAGCAGTCACCTGCCTCCCACCATGAGCCCTGCAGAGAGCTAGGGTAAGCTGGGGGCTCATGGGGCCCAGGTGTTCTGCTCTGTGTGCCTGAGAGGGGAGTGGCCTCAGAACCATCTCGGGCAGCACAGGGTCTGGGGTGAGCAACCTGGCCCTCCTTTTACATGGGATAATGTGGAATGTGGAATAAAATTAATGTGGGCTGGACATGCTGGGTACGGTGGCTTGATTGAGGTCACAGGGGAAGGTCAGGGTAGAGCTGGCTGGGAGCAGGGTCCCTCAGGGGAGGGGGAAGTGACACACCCTGGCAAGTGCAGCAAGGGGCAAAGTGGAGACAGCCTGCATATCCCAATAGCTATAAGATGTGGCTGAAGGACAGATACTGGCAGGGCCCTTCCCTGTGCCCCTGCTGGTGGCTGGCCAGCTTGCAGCAGTGAGAGATGTGGGGGGGAAGGCTCACATAAACAGTCAAATTCAGTCAGAGGGACTCTGGTGGCACTGGGCTATGGAGGAAGGTGGAGGGTGACAGACACAAAGGTCACACTCTGATCTACCCCCTCCATTTTCCTTCCTTCCAGCCCAAGCACCCTGCCCAGCAAGTCCGTCTCCCACATCGAAGGCACCTCCCACTGAACCACCATTGCCACAGGGTACACAGTAGGTGTTCAATTACTGTTGCTTGTACAAGTGAATAATGAATGTCAAAGGTATGGGTAAGGGCTTCCTCCACTCCATCTCTCTGCCATGCTATCAATCTTCTTTTCAAAGAAAGAACCTAAAAATATTTATGATGAAGACCATCACCTGTGCCTTCACTCATGCCACAGCCCTTCTTCTTCTTCTTTTTAAATTTTTATTGTGATTTGGGTGAAAGTTTACAGAGCAAACTCACTTTCCATACAGTAGCTCACATACACTTTGTCTCATGATGTTGACTGCAATTTCCCACAATGCAACAGCTTGCCTCCCACTTCCTCCCCATAGTTACCTCTTCCCTGTGTCCTTCCCTCCCATGCACTCCTGCCCCCTGAGCTGTCTCCCTGTGCATACACAGCCCTTCTAGTCTCCCATGATTGATCTCTCCAAGGACTGTATCTACCTAATGTAAATGTTGAGCTCATATGCCTGTCTTTTGTTTGGCTGGAAGCCACAGGAGTGAGTTCAATTCCAGACCTGAAGGGCAGCTAGAGGCCATAGTCTCAGTGGTTCCATCAGGCTCTATCAGACCAGCAAGCCTAGTCTTTTTTTTTTTTTTTTAATGATTTTGAGTTTTGTTCCACATTGTTCTCCCACTCTATCCAGGATCTCCTACATAGATCTCCCACCAAGTAGTTGACAGTGGTAGCCAAGCACCATCTAGTTCTTCTGGTCTTATATAGGCTGAGGATCACATGGTGTACCAGTCACTTAGACTAATTGTTTCCACATGTTTTTGGTTTTATTTATTCTTCTTTCCTCTGGATGAAGAGAGACTCATTGTTGCATCTAGGTGGCAGCTTACAAGCTTTTAAGATCCCAGTCACTACCTGCCAAAAGTAGGATGTGGAACAATGTTTTTGCCATAGGCCTTCTTGAGCACCCAGGACCGGCAGCTTTGTGCGAGACAGGCACTTGTGGGAATAGAGATAAGAACCATAGCCCTGCCTTCTGGGTAGCCCCTGCTTCTTGGAGAGGGACAGGCTCAAACACATAAACTACAATGTGCAGGGACTGATGCTAAGAACTTAGGTCCAGACACTGAGTTCCTCTTTGGGTGCGAGGCAGTAGCATGTCCCACATGAGAAGAGGAGGAGGGAGCCCCATGCAGAGAGAACAGCAGGGCAAAAGCCTGGTACATCTGGCAAGCAGGGAGCAGGTCCTTGGGGAAGACACAGCTGATGCCCCAGAGAATTAGCAGGAAGCACATGGCTGGGGTGGTGGAAGGGAGTCTGGCAAAAAGGCCTCAAATGCCGGGGCCCTGGCTCCCTCATCTCCCCTGGGGCACCAGAACTGACTTCTCTACCTCTCCACAGTCACCACCAGGTGACTCCCATGTAGCCAGCCACCTTCTACTCCAAGACCAGGGTCCTGGAATTTTGCTTTACTCCTGCCTCCCCTCTGGGCCTCGGCACCCAGCCTTTACCTACCTGCCACCCACGGAGAAGTCAGACACAGCATAGTAGTAAGACTGGAGCACTTTGGGGTCCTTGAAGATGTCGTCCCCGAACGTGTTGAGCCGGTCTAGGGAGATGAGGAGTTCAGTGCTGGTGACCCAGTCCTGGGGAAAATGAAGGGGAGAAGAGAAGAGACACCATTGACAGGCTCTTGAGCATATGCTCCCATCCTGCTTTGCTGGCAGGTCTGGCAGCTGAGCTGGGGTCTTCTGGGGCACAGGGACAGGCTAAACGTAGATAAACCCTGAGAACACTGCATACATAAGGAGCCTGCGCTTTGGGGTCACACCAACCTGAGTTCCAGGCCACCACTGGCTGTGCTTAATGTCTGTTTTTCCCATCTGTGAAACAGAACCAATGTGTCTACCCCACCAAGGTGCTTGAAGGAGGAGACCAACGGTGAATGTAAGTGGTGGAGACGCTGCTAGGGGATAGAGGCCCATCTAAGACCCTGTCTGTGCAGGCCACTTGACTTGTCCCAGTGGCCCCAGAACCCTCATTCCAGAGCTCATTGAGTGAGGATGGGTTTCAGCAAACTCCTCTCCTTCTCAGCCAGGCGAGGTAAGCACAGGCTCACTTGTGCCTACTTACCAATCTGTCTCACATAGGTTTTCACATGAGTGATGTCAGGGATTGTAAATTTGAAAAGAGGAGTTGATTCTGTTGGAAGATGCTGTGAGGTAGGGAGAGAGACAGAAGCCAGCCATACCTAGGAGCAGAATCTTTGATGTGGTGAAAAAAAGGTGAAATTGTTCACAGCAGATTAGTAAGTAAGCACAAGCAAGCCCATGCTTACTTTGCTTATTGGGCGATCCAACACTGGCAAGACCCCATAGACAAGTCACCTACTCCAGGTGATGTCTCTCCTGCCAGAATGTAAGCCCCACAAGAGCCAGGCTTTGGGGCGCCATGTTCTCACTGCATCCCCAGCCCCCAGCTTCTCTCCGCCTACTTGTAGCAGGCACTTGATTAGTAACTACTGAAGGACACAGGACAGCTTCCTCATGGAAGAGCTTGGTGAGGAAGTGGGGAAGGGCCCACGTGAAGGCTGACATTTTGATCCACCTGCTGTTATAATCAGAGGTAGCTCTAGCTGAATGTTAATCAGCATTTTAATTCAGTCCAGGAGCCTCGGGTTTAGCAATCAGGCTCATCAGTGCGGGGAAGCAACGCAACGCAATGCCGTAGAGTTGGATCCAACTCATAGCAACCCCTCTTGGGTTTCCGGGGCAGTACTACTATGGAAGTAGATGGCCCAACCTTCCTTCGGAGGAGTGGCTGGGGGGTTTGAACCGCCAGCCTTCTGGTTAGTAGTCAAATGCCTTACGCACTGCACCACCAGAGCTCTCAGTGCAGGGAAGAAGCTCCTAAAAATGTGTCTTCTCTCTCCAGCATAACTCGAGCCGGTGAGCCCTCTCCAGCTCCCCCTAAACTCGGCAACATGGCAGCCCATGGCTGGGGACCCAGGGCCTCTGTCTGAGGGTGCTTTGGCGGGGCCAGAAAACTTCAGTGGGCCTCTCAACACTTAGCTGAGTTTGTGCTTGAGTTTGTAAGTCTCCAGCACTCCCAGAATCCCCTAAGGCTGCGTATGGCAGATGTTAGTGTCAGTTCAGCTTACCTAAGGAGCTAGTTTGAATGCAGATTCCGATCAGAGGTCTGGGGTGGGGCGTGAGATGCCCCATTTCTAACAAGCACCCAGGAGCTACTGAAGCTGCTGGTTCCTGGATCTAAGGCCTCAGGTGGGAAAATTCATCAGCCCACAGCTGAAGGCACTGCTGGTTTTTTTTTTCCTCCAAAAAAAAAAGAGCTACCTAGAAAATTAGCAAGGAGCTCTGGTGGCATAGTGGTTAAAACACTTAGCTGTAGTAACCAAAAGGTCAGCAGTTCAAACCCATGAGCCACTCCACAGGAGAAAGATGAGGCAGTCTGCTTCTGTAAAGATTTACAGCCTTGGAAACCCTATGGGATAGTTCTCCTCTGTTCTAAAGCATCGCTATGGGTTGGAATCCACTCGATGGCAGTTGGTTTGGGTTTTTTGGTTTTAAAGAAGTAGCAGCAGCTGACATTTACTATGTGATTATTATGGGTCAGGTATGTTACGTTCACCACCTCATGGGGTCCTCACAACAACCCTATGCGGCAGCTCCTGTTATTATCCTCATTTTACAACAAGAAAACAGGCTTGGTGAGAGAAAGTACGGGCAGTCCCCAGGTTACAAATGAGATCCATTTCTAAGTGTGTCTTTAAGTGGAATTTGTAGGTAAGTCAGGACAGGTGCACACAGTTCTTACTTAGCCTTACTTTACTGCAAGAAAAGGCCAGACGTCTTTACAGTGATTCAAAACTGCATATGAAGCAAGTGAAAGGGACTGTGTTGAAGAATTTGTTGAGAGTAGAGGTTGGTTCAACTGTATCAAAATGAGGGCAAATTTACATAAAATTAAAGGGCAAGTACACGTTGTCTCAAGTCATGTTCTTAATGTGGGGACTTATGGTATTCTCCAAATTGCACAACTTCCCTGGCTGAACTAGAATTCAGCTGTCAGTCCCTAAGACCCAGGCCTTAACCACTAGACTAGCCTGCCTTCCAGTGGGGCCCAGAGAGATCGATGGCTTGCCAAGGTCTCTCGGCCTGTGAGTGACAGAACAGGTCAAGCACCCCTCCTCTGAGTTCCTGCATCTGCTTTCTGGCCTGTGACCTACTCTATCAGTCTATAAAGAGGATGACAAAGGAACAAGGTGAAAATCTCCAAGACACTAAGATGGAGCTGGGAGAGAAGGAGGCTTTGTTCCCCTAGCCCACACTGCAGGGGGAACACCTCAATGCCTTAAAGGTAAAGTCACTTGGGGACAAACCAAAGCCCCACTGTGCACAGGCAATGAGGTTTGCAATCTGCAATAGCCCAGCTACAACCACGAACGGGCTGTGAGGTTTACTGTGGACAGATCCTAGCTCCAGAATGTGAGGTTGAGGAGATGCGGACAGTGTAACACTTGGGTTCTGGGGAGCTGTAAGTCTGCTCCAGCCAGGACCACAGGGAGCGGGGGGGTGCTGAGGCTGCCCCTCCACTCTGGCAGCCTGATTCTGGGTCGGCCAGGTCAGCCTTCTCTCCAAGATCCTGTCCCCTCTGTGGCAGACAGAGGGACATGAAACCCAGCAGCCATATCCGCCACACATCCGCCCAGCCTACCACCCCAAAATGCTCATGTCCCTCACAGAAGCTCCATCCAACATGCTAGGAGGGGAGGAGGAGGGAGAAGTGCCAGGCAGGGCTTGCCTTTCTTTCTCTGCCCTCAGCTTTCACCTAGGAACAGCAGGAGAGACATTTCTGAAAAGGTCATTTCTCAAAAGGGACAATGTCCACAATGTATGTGGCAATGGCCTCCTGTCAGAAACTGCCCGCCTGCCAGGGTCTCAGGTTAAGCCTCTCCTTGGGCTTACAGGACAGACAGCAGCACAGATGCAGGTCAGCTGATAGCCCGGCCTTCTGTGCTTGTCTTCATCTGACCCTGGTTGGTTTCTTCTACCCTAAAGAGCTTGGAGCCCCGTGGAGAAGTGACTATAATTTTAAGCAAAATCATGATGGTGACTGTTCTGGTCACCTAGTACTGCTCTGACAAGAATATACCACAAATGGGATGGCTTAAACAAACAGTTTATTCTTACAATTTGGAGGCTTTAAGTCCAAGTTCAAAGTGCCAGGCTCTAGGGGCTGGGTGAAAGCCCCTCAACCTTGGGGTATAGCTCTGCCTCCTGCTCCCGGCCCACTGAAGCTAGAGGTGTTTCTTCCCTCAGACAGCTGCTGGCTGCTGAGGCTGAGAAGCCCCAAGGTTGACGAATGAAAAGGCACAGTCCCAATGTTACCAAACCACACGGCAGGCCATTAAGTTAAGTCCATCGTAAGCCCCAAGTTCAGCAGAGCATAGCAGGTTGCTGAGCAACGACATGGCTACATGCAGGGTCCAAGCATGCCAAAGGCTAGAGACCATTCCCAAGGCTTCTCCTTAACTACAGGAAGCAGACCACATCCCAAAGACAGCTCAGCTGCTTGTGGTAGATCCCACCATGGACTTGATTGCCAGTCTCATCATGGGGAATAACTACCACAGTGACATGTGGACATTTTTAATGGCATGAGCAGAGCCTAAGCCTTAACATCCGTTCTGCAAAGCAGAACAATTTCACTTGGGTTTCACATCTTGGTTGTGGTAAAAACTGCTCACTACAGATTAGTAAGTAAGCCTGTGCTCACTTTGCTTACTGGGTAATCTGCCCCTGATAGAACTCACCCTACTCCAGTATGAACTCATGTGAGCATAACTGATAACACTTCAAAGACCCTATTTCCAAATAGGGCCACACATTCACAGGTACAGGGTTTAGAACTTCAGCATGTCTTTCTTGGGGGACTCAGTTCCATTCACAACAGCAAAGAAAAGCTTTGAAAGTCTCAAGGGAAGGAAGTGGCAGTTTTACTTGGACAGAGGCCCATCAGAACCCAGGGAAATGGACAACAGGGCCTTCTTACCCCCTAGCTCCCTGAGAGCACTCAGCAAGGACAAGCAGACTGACATGTCTGTAGATGAATAAAACTGACACCCATGAACGTAGGCATCCATGAATGCAAGTTGCCACAGGGCTCCTGGGAGCTGCAGGGCTCTGCTACAGGAAACAAGGGAAGGGACACTTTTATCTATTTCATAATCAAAAAACCAAATTCATAGCCATCTAAGTGATTCCAACTCATAGCAACCCCTACTGCATTTGCAAGGCTATAAATCTTTACGGAAGTAGATCATCCCATCATTTTTCGGGGGAGCAGCTGGTGGATTTGAACTGCTGACCATCTAGTTGGCAGCCAAATGCTTTATCCACTATACCACCAGAGCTACTTATTTCATAATCAAACATCCACAAAGGATGTAGACACAACAGAGATTCTGTTGCTTGAAGTTTGAAAACCATGAGATCTCGCATGGCCCCTTGTGCCTGGGGCTGCTGTAGACTTTCCTGTGGTCTCCTCAACCCAGGCATCCACCCACTGCCCAGCCCCCACCCCTAGCCCCACTTCTTGCTGACCTGTAACACCGGGCTCTCCTCAAAGTTGTAGGCACTGGGCCGGCCCTCCAGGGTAGAGAAGGCCACGTTGCCTCCACTCAGCGGGGAGATATCGCTGAACTCGGAAGTACAGAAAGCCACACGCTCATCTTCACCAGGACGCAGGTACACCCCCTCCCGCTTGCCGTAGGTCTTCTTGCAGGAGGCGCTATAGTACTGGTAGGGCTCCCATGGGCCACCAGCATGGCTGCGCTTGTAAATGGCGAAGCTCTCAGGGCGACTGGTGTGGAACTTCAGCCTCACGTAAGTGATTTCATAGGCCTTCCCTGCAGCCAGGAAGAAATGGACCCAATTTTCAGAAGGGAAGGGAAAAAGGGAAGGCCACACTGTAAACTAACTTGGACGGACTTTTAGAGGCTGCCTCTTCTCTATGGCCCTTAAGCCTGTCATGGTCCACAGTCTTCCTTACATCCTGAGGAGGAATCACTTTAATCCTCTGCTTAGAACGCTTGGCCCTACGTAAGAGCTAAAACTATAAAACTCTTAGAAGAAAATACAGAAGTAAATCGTTGTGACCTTGGATTAGGCAAAACTTCCTTAGTTAAGGTACTAAAAGTGACGAAAGAAAACAGAAAAATTGGACTTCATCAAAATAAAAAAATATGTATTTATGTTTCAAAGGATACCATTGAGAAAATGAGAATAAAACAACCTGCAGAATGGGAGAAATTATAGGCAAAACATATATCTGATAAGGGATTTATATCTAACATATATAAAGAACTCTATAATTCAATAATAAAAAGGCAAATGCCCCAGTTTAAAAATGAGCAAAGGATCTGAATAGATTTTCTTCAACAACAAAATACAAATGGCCAATAAGTAAGTGAAAAGATACTCGACATCATTAGCTATCAGGAAACTGCAAATTAAAACTGTAACAAGATAGCAGCCACTAGGATGACTAGAAGCAAAGGACACGTAATAATAAATGCTGGTGAGGGTGTAGGGAAATTGGAACCCTCATGCACTGCTAGTGGGAACGTAAAATGATGCAGCCACTTTGGAAAACGAGAATGGCCAGACTTCGTCTCACCTACTTTGGTCATGTTGTAAGAAGGGACCATTCCCTGGAGAAGGATGTCATGCTTGGTAAGGTGGAGGGTCGACGTAAGAGGGGAAGGCCCTTAATGAGATGGATTGACTGCAGCGGTGGGCTCAAGTATAGCAAGGATCATGGAGCTGGTGCGGGACTGGGTGGTGTTTCGTTCTGCTGTGCCTAGGGTCACTATGAGTTGGAGATGACTCAACGATGCCTAACAACAAAAACTTTGGAAAACAGTCTTGTAATTCTTCAAAATGTTAAAACATCAAGTTACTACTGTAAGACCCAGCAATTCTACTCCTGTGTGGAGAAATGAAAACACAGGGCCATATGAAAAATGTGTGCACAAATGTTCATGGCAGCATTATTTATAATAGCCAAACGGCGGGAACAAGGAAATAACTCAGACATCTGTCAACTCATGAATGAATAAATAAAACATGGTGCATGCATACCATGGAATGCTATCTAGAAATACCTAGGAATGCAGTCCTGCTACATCCCACAACGTGGATAAACTAAAAGCATTACACTAAGTGAAAGAAGCTAGTCACAAAAGGTCACTTATTATGTTTCTATTTATATGAAGGGAGCTCTGGTGGCGTAATGCCAAAGGCATTTGACTGCTAATCAGAAGGCTGGCAGTTCAAACCCACTGAGAACTCTTTGGAAAGAAGGCTGGGCAATCTACTTCCATAGTGATACTGCCTCAGAAACCCAAGGAGGGGTCACTATGAGTCAGATCCCACTCAACAGCAGTTTGGTTAGTTGTTGGTTGGTTATTTATATGAAATGTCTAGACTAGGCTGGCGCAAAGAGTGAAGTGCTTGACTAACTAAAAAGTTGGCAGTTCAAATCCAGAGTGCCTTGGGGGAAAGGCCTGGCGGTGTGCGTCCCAAAGGTCACAGCCTTGAAAACCCCATGGAGTGTGTTCTACTTTGCGCACATGGGGTTGCTGTGAGTCAGAATCGACTCCACAGCAACTGCTTTGGCGTGTTTTTCAGGGTTGGGAGGTATTGAGAGATGACGAGGAGCTGCTAATGGGTAAAAGGTTTCTTCAGGGGTGATGAAAATATTCTAAAATGGACTGTGATCATCATAGTCAATATTACAACTGTGAATACACTGAAACCCACTGAATTGTATACGTTAAGTGGGCACATTATGTTGTTGTTGTTGTTGTTGTTATGTGCTGTCGAGTCGGCCCCGACTCATAGCGACCCCTCCTTGGGTTTCCGAGGCAGTATCACTACGGAAGTAGGATTGCCCAACCTTCCTTATGATACGTGAAATGTATCTCAATAAAGCTATTATGCTAAAAATATCTTGGCTCCTGGGGAAGGCAGTTTGGCAACATGGATGAAGAGTCATACAAATATTCTGCCCTTTGGCAGAGGAAACTCACTTCTGGGAATTCAAGCAATGAAAAGAGTCTAAATGCATGAAGATGTTCATCAAGGTGTTGTTTATACAAGGAAAAAATTGGGACCATAAGGGACTGGCTAATAAATCGTAGGATTTAAAGTCATGTGATGATTGCAGCCACTGAAACAGTTGGCAGAGAGCTTGTGATACGTGGGAAAAGCTTACATTAAAATATTAAATGAAAACAAAGGGACAGATTATACATGAAGAATCATCAGACTTATATTTTAAGAATCCCAAGAGAATAGGCAGAATAGAAAGACACAAACTGGTAAGTGCGGTGCTCTGCGGGACGTGGGACTTTGAGTAACTTTTCTTCCTTTTTCAATTTTTCCATATGTTCCAAATTTTCTCTCATTAAGCTTGTTCTAATTTAAAAGCTGGAGAAAACACTTTTCTTTTTTTATTTTAAAAAAGTAACTGCCTTGCCATGTTCTGTTTCAAGATGTTTTTCAAAGTGAAGCTGCAGCCCAGCTTGGCACTCTAACTCCAAGTCCCTGAAAACAAAGCACGTGTAGCAAATGGAGCCAGTGTCTGGGAGCGGCGTCTGCTTCGGGGACAAGCAGGCCCAGGCCCCTGAGCAAGGCAGGGGTTTACCCCAGACTCACATTTACTAAAGGATGCTGCATGGGAAGCTGCTGTGGGGTCGCAGGCTCCGACTCCTCGGTAAACATTGAGCAGCCAGACACCCTGTGGGCGGGGAGCTTGGAGCCACTTAAAAGGTAGCTGGCAGCCAGAACTGCTATCGGAAAAAGGCAGTCACTGGGATTTCATGCAAACGAGCAATATCACGTGCTAGGAAATGGCTTTTCCTCTTCCTCGCCAAGCCAGGAGGTGAGAGAAGATACGGGAACATCACAAAGATGGGGCAGGCTTTTTGTTGCCAAGACAGCAATTTAATCCCCCCTTTGTGATAGAAAGGTTTTGAAGGGCGGCAAACCGAAGGCTGGAGGAAGGAAACCATCTCACAATCTTCTAAACAGCAACAAGAGGTAGATTTGTAGGCCCAACCCAGATCCTTGCAAGTTCTGGGACCCCATGGGGCTTCAGGGTACTTTAGACAGATGTGTTCCTATCAGGAAAGCTGGGCCAAACTGTCATCCTCAGCCGTCAAGAGGGAGTGACATTGCTTGGAAACATTAAACGGCTTTACCTCCCAGCCACCCAATCCACTGTTCCTCATGCCTTGAATGCTTTTCCCTGCTCCTCACCTGGCTGGCTCCTATGCATCCTTGTGCATCCCTCTGCTTAGCAGACTGACCACATGCTCTAGCCTCACTTCTTGTCACTGCCTTCTCCTCCCTCTCCATGCTCCAGCCAAACTGAACCACGAAGAAGCCCTCATTCTGCTAGCATCTGGCCCAGCCTGGAACACCCTTCTCTCTGCCTTCCCTGGCTAAGTGCTACTCATTCTTGGAACGTCAGGTCACGGAAGCCTCCCCTGATGAGTTTGTATGCCTCACTGGGGCTTCCAAAGCCTCTCTGTGACTCCCGTGGGGCAGGGACTATGAATCCTTAGATCTGAGCACAGTGCCTGACACACAGTAGGTGCTCAATACATGTTTGCTAATGAGCCAGCAAGGATGAAGCATGATTTATAACTTTAAGGAGTGGAGACAAGCAGGCCCAACAAAATGGCTAAGACTCTAAGCGTGTGGACAAGTCATGATCCCTTAATGAGTCTGTTTAACAGTAAGAGTCAACATTTATTGAGCACCTACAGTACACCAGGCACCTGGGTAAGGACTTGATGCCACTGGAATACTGAGATCCCCAAACAGTCCCATCACTGTGTGCATTTTACTAATGAGGCTACTGGAGCTCAGGAAGGAGAAAGGGACTCGCCTAACATCCTGAAGAGCACAGCTGAGCTCCCCGACCACCAGCTTGTCCGCCCCAAAGCTGCAGCCCCCAACCAAGCTAACTTCCCATTCAAAACTCTGTATATTCCCAGGGAGATGGGGCTGTTGGGAAGGGGGTGCTGGAGTCCATAGAGACCACGGAGGTCCCATTCTGCCCCCTACCCTTCACCTGCAGACTGGTCCAGCTGCTGGTGCAGAAGGGGCCCACCTAAGCCAAGCACCAGGCACACCAAGCCATGTCCTCTCCAACCAGCTGGGACATAAAGCCCGTCAAGAGTGACACCAGAGCCAGTCATAAAACCAAGCCGCCCACATCCGGTACAAACCAGAGAATGAGCTCGGAACAGGAGAGGCTTATTTTGGGAAGATGGAAACAAAACAAAGCCCTTTAATTGGAGCCATCTGGGGAGCAGTGGCCTGGGAGTGGGGCTGGAGGGGGCAGGGTAGGGAGCTGATTGAGAATGCATGGGCTCAGCCACTCTGCCCTCTACGGGCATCAGGGCCAGGCTGGGAGCTTCTCCCAGCCTATGGGGAGATCACAACAGGGCCCCCCCAGCCCCACCATCTGGCCACCCACCATGCCAGTCCTTCATCTCCTGTCCTAGCTCTGGATAACCTGGGGCATGGTGAATCCCCGTCAGGAGCTGGGGATTCCCCAGGACCATGGTGCCAGACACCAAGACAACCTGGCTGAGCCTGGGCTAGGCCCATCTCAGCCCTCCCATCTCAGGACCAAGAATCTGAGCTCCAAGGAAGAACTGAGAATAATTGAGCCTGCAGTCTATCCCAGGGAGACTGAACAGGTTTCGTTAGATTGAGCACTGCCTAGGGTTTTGTGTTGAGAAAGATTCTGAGGTCTGTCCTGAGCTGCGACGTGACAGGACAAACCACACCAAGAAGCAGCAGGATATTCAAGACCATTGCAATAAACCTG